TTTTTTCAAGGTGGTACACTGGCCATAAAGTATAGCAATAGCATATTTAGGAATATAGTACATTTCAGAGATTCAGGTAGCCTATAGGTAGGTAGACCTTCTGTAAACTATAACACTTTGTTTTTTAAGTATAACACAATACTTTCAAGTACATTCAGAACATTGGAAACCCTGACTATTAGAAAACATCTCTCTGTTGCTTCAGAGGCCATAACAGACTTTGTTGATTTACCAACAGTAGATTTAAAAAATCTAATCAATTTCAGTCCAACTCTCTCAATAACCTTGGCCAAAACAATAAACAGTTCAACATAAAGTGCCAGTTGCACCAACAACGTAATAAATAGTTCAACATAAAGTGTACCATTTAAAATAAAATAATATTCTTTCAATATCCTGATGAAAAATAAAATCTCTCTGTTGCATAGGCCACTGTTTGATCAACGCGAATTGGGTGTGGGTCCTTGTACTCCGAGTCGGGCTAACGTCCACGCTAGCTTCCACGCTAGCTGCTATATGTTTTGCATTGAGGTGATGCTTGAGGCTTGATGTGCTGCGGTGATACGCAAATTCCTTTTTGCATAATTTGCAAACAACCGTGCTCTTATTGACGCTTCCATCCGTCCGTTTTTTAAAACAAAATGTCCCATCCACGGGGCCAACAAAGCGGTCTCATCAGCTTGTTCGTTCATGTTTGACAATTGTTCACTGTGATTTGTTGTTGTTTGAAGTCATGAACGTTAGTTGGTGCTCCAGTATAATCGGTACCCCTGAAACTCATCCAGTGAGAAACGTTCCGCGGTGCGATTAGTGCGATTAAAATGCGTTAATTTTTTTAACGCGTTAATTTTTGTGTAATTAATTAATCTTAATTAACGCGTTAAAGTCCCGGCCCTAGTTTTTTTGTCTTTGTAAGTCATAAATCATTATTCTTTTCTTGCTTTGTTCAAACAGACGACAGGTGAGTTTGAGTCTCCTCACCCTGGTTATTTTGTTTTCAGTAAAGAGATATTACAGCTATCCTTTTCCTCAATCAAATCCTCATCGCTGCTTAATACTGTATCTTTGCCACTAAAGCCACACACTACATGTAGAGTGTGCTTTTACTGTTATCTGATTCCTACTCTGTTTAGTTTTGACTGTGTATTTCCTCCCACTTCTCTCTGTGTTTTGTCAGTTTATTGCTCTTTTTTATCAGGATATGCCTGGAGCAAAACGGCCATCCACTCCACAGCCAAAGCACTACAAACATTGAGTTTACAAAAGTCACATCATCAAATTCATCATCATCATCATCATCATCAACCGGCCATCTGTGTGAAACATGTGGTTTTAGAGATGGAAAGAGAGTGATCAGGTTAATGGCAGGACACAATATGTTTTATGTTGTCAGCACTTTGTGAAGCATCACATTAGAATAAATCAGGTCCCTCTGTGCTACGTGGGTCTTCAGTTTCTCTTTTTTGTGTTTTTGTGTGGCAACATTTGTTACTAAATCACAATTGGTTCACTTATTATGATTAGGCTAAATGTTAGAACACATTTCCTCTGCCTTGTAGTGAAAGCTTGATGTGGTTTGTCAGTTACACTCAGGATGTGGGAGTTTTGCTCCACCACTGTGTCAAAATGCATCTGTACAGCTTTCTAAGAACTGGACTGGTGTGTCTATGACTCATTATGGACTGGTGGGGATGAATCTGTTGTGTTTCTGCTGTCAGGAAGTGTTCAAATGTATTATACGATATGATAAGATAATACTTTAAGGGTCAGATCAAGTCTGAAATTTGACTTGCATCACAGTGTAACTTCAACATAGACAAATATCATGAAACAATACATGAAAAACAAACAACAAATGTTTAACATCACAATCACTGAGAGAAAACATGCTCAAAGACCCTTTAGATCTGTATTTACTGTGAGGGTTGACTGATTCACAAAGGAGTGCTTCAGACTGACTTGATTGAATAATGGGCCCCTGTATCTCCGATTAGGTGGTAGCAGTTCATATTTGCTGTTCAGATTTTTTTTTTGGGTCCGAGATGATGTTGTTGGACAGCCTTATTAGGTTATTATGATTCGTAAAGTCTCTGACAGGGTTGACCAACAATCTTTGAGCAGATTGGAGCAGTTTTGATTTGAAAGCTGTTGACAAACACTTGTACCAGGTAGTATTGCAGTGCTGTAGAATAGACAAAATCACAGATGTAAAGAACAACAGTTATGAGTGCTATTCTAGCGATGTTAATCGATGTCTCTCCTTTTGTGTTTCCTCAGACTTGCGGCGGATGACGGCAGGTTTCATGGGCATGGCGGTGGCCATAATCCTGTTCGGCTGGACCATCGGAGTGCTGGGCTGCTGCTGGGATAGAGGCCTCATGCAGTATGTGGCCGGCCTCCTCTTCCTCATGGGGGGTGAGTCACACTCTGGAGAGGTCGTAAACTGACTAGCTACTCTTATGCTACGCTAGGCTAACCCCTTTCCTATGTTAGCTCCGTGCTTTTGCGACCATTAGAAATGCTCAAACTAATGACCAATTACACAATTCCTGTGACAAGTTGGAAAGAAAATATAATTCTAATGTGGGAAAGTGTAGTCATTTCAGTGAGCTTATCCAGCCACTGCATCCCTCAAGCACACACACGTAAGAAATCTATCCCTGACTTCACTTGGAATAACCCATTGGGAGGCAGGTTAAAAGGTAGTGAACACAGTGGGACATACAGAGGTTACACGCACGCACGCACACACACACACACACACACACACACACACACACACACACACACACACACACACACACACACACACACGCAACCCTGTGTGTCCTAGTTTCTGGCAGTGGGCAGTCAGTAGTAGCCTCACACACACATTGACATGCTGTGTGCTGGCAGAAGGCGACTGCACACTCAATTATGATGGGCTGTGGATTAGTGTTGTGCCCTACAGTTGTATAATGAAAAGGCAATTAAAAAGTCAATTATTTTGCTTGGCAATAAAGGCACAAGAAATAGCCTGGGTCAGTCTGCAGTGGCCAAATCACTGCAAAGCCGCCCGAAGGGTCACAGCTCTCCCAAAATGAGGCCAAATGTAGCGCTGTATCTCCAAATGCTCCTACTAAACACATTCCAAAGTATTAGATTCATTCAGATGGGATAAAGTGGACTGACTACTAAATCGTTTTGCAATTTGAAAAGTAAGAGATGTCAGCAGTTTGGTGGCATGTTCTCCTTGAGATCTCTTGGGGTTTTGCCAAGAGTTAAGTGTAGCAGAGAGAAATTGGACCACAATGTAACGCAGATCATAAATACCTTCAAGGAGAGACTGTCTAGAAGCGTGCACCATCGTTCCCATTAGCATTAACTATGGAATGCTTATCACCAATTACATTTTCGGCAATAAGCCACCATTTTTAGTGTTTAGTGGAAGATACATATCCATATATCTTGGTTTAATATGCATGAGGTCAACACTGACTTAAAATCACAAGCTGGCATGTGTTGACGTCCTCAATATTTAACCATATCAACATATTTTCCCATGGATCATTGCAGGATGTGACCTTGCACCAGATAACGAATAGAGGGTTGTCACAGATTGGGTTTAATTTAATTGGATATGGAAATGCTTTCTGACATGGCCAACATTTTATCTCACATGCCTTCCCAGATATATAATTCTGTCAAGGACAACATGAAACATGGCCACTATAAGCTAGTGAGAAAAAACAATAAAACCCTGTCCTAATGAATTAAAATCCAACATATTTCCTTTTTTCTCTTGTGGGTTGAATGTTAAAGTTTTCCACAACCTCTACTTCTGTCTCTGTTAACTGGTGGATTTCTGCCATGTTAAAGGTGTATGACATTATCTGACAAAAATACGCTTTTCGTAGCCAAACCGGTTGATAGTTTTGATTGTTTGCCAAAGCGATTGACTGGAAACAGGACTTATTTGTCTTAAAGGTCACCTATTATGCAAAATCCACTTTTTCATGTCTTTTATACATAAACATGTGTCCCCTCAAAGTTTCAGGAAAAAAGATTCGCTCACTTTTTTTCCTGATCCATTTATATAAAAATATGTCAGAAAATTAGCTGATCAGATTTTGGCCACTTTATGACGACATATCGATTTTTTTGGCTTGTGTAACCATTAGCCAATCACCAGCAAGGTAACCCCCACCTTAGATCAGATCAGAATACCTTTATTAGTCCCACAGAGGGGAAATTTGCATCGTTACAGCAGGAAAGAGCCACAGACAGCTTATTGTTGCATATGTTAAAAAAAAAAGTACTAAGTTATGATATAATAAAAAATATAATAAAAAAAGAATAATAATAATAAAATCACCTGCATCTCCTCCTAGAGCACCATTGTGTTCTTTTTAACCAAATATCTCTCATGCCCCTTTCACACCTACGCGTTTTCAGCTGGAGCCTGAAAAGTACCGTTTTTTCCTGTTCACACCGCAGCGGTGCCGCCTCTTAGCTCCGGAATCCGGTTCACTTCCAGCTCCAAAAAATTGTCGGTCTAGAGGCAAGAGCTTCGGAGCTAAGAGGCGGCGTCGCTTACATCGAGGCGTGCAGGAAACTAAACCCACCTCCCCTGAACATGGGTCGACTGAAGAGTCTCCTCATGCCTGCCTACAAGCAGTGCTGAGCAAAGTGACTAGAACCAACCACACACTTATAAAAGAAACACACTTTCTAAAGTCAGGCAACACTAACCAGGCTTCGTGTGATTCTGTTTATTTGTACCTTACTTTGACCATCCGTTCACTGTTATTGATCATTGTGGAGAGAGGCAGACGTTTTGTTTTGTATTATAGCAGCTATCGGATGGAATCAATACATGTGCTGCACAGGTTGTCATGTCCGACTATCACAACTAGAATCATAATAAAAATACGCCGGTAAAATGTGCCTGTAGAAAACGGTTTATGCCACAATAGGATAGCAACNGCTAAAGAGAAGCTGTTCGCGAACGACGAACTTAAAGAACTGGGCCCCTCCGAAATACTGGATGTTCCATCTACACAGAGTTGGACTCAGTTAGACAACTACCACAAATACAATGAAGTACTTTACTGTTGGACCCAGTAGTTGGACTTCTACCACAAGTAGGCTACTATGAAGTTATTTTACTGCGTACTTTTTCAGTTATTCTCTGTCAAACTCCTGTGGCAGAAAATCATTTGATCTCTCATCAAATATGGCAGAAAACATGCAGTTTGACAGAGGATTAAAACTGTAATCAGAGCCCTCTCATCTGAGCTCCGTTACACACACACACACACAGGAACGGGACATCCTCCTCAACCTGTCCGCCATAAATGCCTCAGAGGACGGATACCTGAACCGTAGCGTCCAGCTAGCTTAGCCGCTAGCTTAGCGATAAATACACACGTTGTATTTTCCTCCCCCTGTCGGCCCTAAAAGCTTCAGAGGGCGGATACCTGAGCTCCATAGCGTCCCGCTAATGTGAAACACACACTCTTGCCCCTTTCACACCAACGCGTTTTCAGCTCCGGCTCGGAGCTGGAGCCTGAAAAGTACCGTCTTTTACTGTTCACACCGCAGCGGCGCCGCCTATTAGCTCCAGAATCCGGTTCACTTCCAGCTCCAAAAAATTGTCGGTCTAAAGGCAAGAGCTTCGGAGCTAAGAGGCGGCGTCGCTTACGTCGAGGTGTGCAGGAAACTAAACCCACCTCCCCTGAACATGGGTCAACTGAAGAGTCTCGTCATGCCTACAAGCAGTAGTGCTGAGCAAAGTGACTAGAAGGCAACCACACATTTATAAAAAGAAACACACTTTATAAAGTCAGGCAACACTAACCAGGCTTCGTGTGATTCTGTTTATTTGTACCTTACTTTGAACATCCGTTCACTGTTATTGATCATTGTGGAGAGCAAGCAGACATTTTGTTTTGTATTATAGCAGATATCGGATGGAATCAATACATGGGCTGCACAGGTTGTCGTGTCCGACTATCACAAGTAGAATCATAATGAAAAATACGCCGGTAAAATGTGCCTGTAGAAAA